CATGCATCTGGATAGGCGTTTGGAGCCGAGAACCGAGACACAGCTAAACTCTACTTCAAATCGACTAAATAAACAAGTAGACGAAAAAAAGGGAGAAGATAGTGGCATCAACGAACATTCGATTGTGATGCATCACACACAAAAACGCGCGCACACACCATTTCATTTTATTTATGGGCTCGAATGACTATGACTACGACCGACGTGTGCAATGTGCACACACAAGGATTTACCATGCTCTTTTATGATTCTAATGAAATGGTACTCGGGAATCAGCATGTGTGTAGGAACTTGGACGTAATAACGGTGTTCAAGACTCTTGTATACGGCATGGTACTCAGTAAGAAAATCACCATCATCGGAATGGGCGCACAGAAAACAAATGATGAGTTTTTTTTCTGCACTGTATGTGTGTTCCTGTTCTTCTCTCTTCATGGTTTGGCTCGAGTTTTGATCATATTCGTTTCACATAGACCGAAAGCGATATTGAGCAAGCAGAAAAATGATAGCTTACGACTATTATGCGGCCGGCACATCAAGAAATATGAAAAACGCCTTCTAAATGTATTCTACATTACTTTGAATGGTCAAACAAAGTGGAAAAAAACAGCAAACCCATCAACAACAACAACAACAATTCACATAATTATTGTATGGAATATTAGATAAAACTCAAGTGCGCGATAATGATGTTGAATCGTTTCAGTTTGGTCATTTGGCCAATCGCCCTTGCTTCAATGCGTCGGTCATATTGTATCTATTAGTCATGTTATTCATATGTACGTGTGTTACATCGTACGATAGGTTTTTCATCCTCATTTGTTTCCGATTTATTCGCTTATGCGTGCTACGAGTATGAGGTGGCTTATTCATGCTTGAGCCTCATTTCTCTCAGTCTCTTGCTTCTTTCTGCCCCTGCTTTACTTTGTGTTCATCCATTGGCCTCACACCAAACTTGTCGAGAGCGTTCCGAAAATTAATCGATTTTCGGTGCTGATTTCTTTTTCTTCCAGCACATTCATAACTTTTCGTTTTTCTTTTTTGTTTCAACATTGTAATTATTTCGTTTTAAGCATTTTAACACACGTATGTATGAAGAAATTAGTTATTATCTCTTTGTCTCTCTCTCCCTCTCTCCGTCTTCGACTTCGTCTGCGTTCTTTCCGTGACTGGTTTTTTTTGTCATCGTCGTTTAGTGTAATCAAACGATTTATGCTTAAGGTTTAATCTCACGTACCACGTGAAAGATAGACGAGATAGTGTGGTGGAAATTACTTTTGCTTGGTTGGCTCCATGTATATATACGTATAAATATTGTTTAATTGTAAAATTCGGTAGCACAGCCCGATGGACTGACTTGTGGCCGGAATTCGGTTATTGTTGTGTAACCGAGAAAATTGAATTCGTTTAAAAATAAGTAGGCTTTTGCGTGATAATCAGTATAAAACCTGCTTTCTGTCTGTCATTTTTGCTTACATGAAATAATGTATTTTCACCCAAAAACACTCCATTTACCTTGATGCACCTCACAGCTAATAACACCAATTAACTTTAATTAAATCACTTTCAGGCACGACATCTCATTCAACATCAACAACGTCCGTCGTCGATTTTTTTGACATTTTTTTTCTTTTTTCTCTGGTTGTTTTGAACCTGCTTTCATTCATGAATGAAATAAAATTAAGTGTTTTGTCGCAAATAATAATCCATATATGGCCATTTTTGTACCGTGTGCAACCACAAAATGACAAGCATGTATTTTGCTATAAACAGTCAATTGAACAGAACAATTTCAATCCGAAATCTTCACTATTCTCTCGAGAAACTGACAGAGAAAAAAAAACTGAAAGTTCCACAATTTATGCTACGCAATAGTCTGAATTTAATCGCATTCCGGTCGTTAAGCAAGAATGAACATAAAAATCGCTAAAATGTTCGCATAGACAAAAAGCAAAAACACATAAATGTTTTATTGAGCACTAAATAAACAAATCGGTGACAATGAAAATTAGGCACATTTCTGTGTGCCGTTATAAAGTGTGAACCATTTAAGTCGGTTCACTTGCTCTAATTGTTTCGTTAAGCGAATTTTATTTGCTTTGGTATTGCTTGTTGGGATAGTTTTTATGAGTTGGGTTTGTTGTTTTTTCTTTCTTGTTTGCTTGGCGTTGCAACCAGGCCCCGGGATAAGAGTTTTCTCGTTGACTTTTAAATGAGACGAAATAATGACTCATTAACACGGAACGGTGTAGAAGAAAAAAACCTTACGAAGATTACAATTCGTATTTCACACCAAACAAATATAAATGCTAAGAACTCATTTGCAACTCTATTTTGTTACAATAAATCCGCCAATATTCATTGTGATCTCGAATTCATGTTCAACGTTGAACTACTACACCGATGATCAATATTTTTCGGTTTTCGACTCGACTCGGTCGATTGTCAAAAAGGAATAGAATAAATGACATAAATGACCGAGAAAAAGAGAGAGAGAGAGAGAGAGAGAGAGAGAGAGAGAGAGAGAGAGAGA